CCTAGCTTTGTTACAAATTAAGAAGGAATTTCTTTTGCTTTGGACCCAAACCAGTCTCTGCTTTGACAGGTCCTGGGTCCTTTTGGACCTCATCTGGAGTCTTTATTGGTCTGGTTCCTGTGAAAATGTGTCAGGTTTGTTACGGAGGAGGGAAAGATATTCTGTGAGGTTTCTCTTCAGATATGTTTCTCCACTCTTTGCTTATTGCAATTATCTCTGAACAATCATGTAAACACTGCTGTAAGCCAATTTAGTAATTAAATGGCATTCTCTGGGTTGGAACGGGTTACCGTGAGCGCAGGCTGGACCTGCAGCTCCCCTCCAGATTCACTGTATCAGGTGATGTTGGTAAGTAGGCCACGGCAGCTGTACTTCTAAGGAATCAACTGAAATAGGATGTAATCGGATGCAGAGGTGTTTCCTCAGTTATTTTGTTTCAGATCCTTTTAAGTTTGAGATTTACAGTTATTTTGATTTTTATTAGCTTCACGTTTTCTTTACATAACCACGCTGCACTAATCAGGAAAAAGGGAAATAAAAAGATGCCACTACTTCTTTTGTATTCACTGCTCGACCATTCCTCACGAGCACGTTTTAAGTTATTTTAAGTGAATTTGATACATGCAGTTTCAATTTAGCATTAATCTAACATCTAACCCCCCTAAGTGGGTTACGGGTGGCCTGGTTCATGTTAATAAGTGTTTGTTTTCTATGTTAATCAAATATACTCTATTTTCACATAAATAGGGTTAACAGGCAACTATAGCCTGGATATGTCTACACTGGTCTCAGTGTTGTTGCTTGTTTTGTTTCCATGTGCAAACTGTTTTTTAATCTCCATTCAGATGTGCTCAGTAAAAATATCACTATTTCTCTTTGTTTCATCTTATTTCTTCTTAAAACTTCTATTCATGGCCTTATATAACATCCACAGAAATCGATATCCTGCAAGCTCCCTTTTTTGACTTGTTGTTAAACTCAAATGCCTCGAGCAGACATGTCCAAAGTCTGGTGCCTGCCTCAAATGCATTATTTATGGCCCGCCACCACAAACAGAATTAATAAAGTGCAATTTCTTTGTTTATCTCATGTTGTCAGCACCATGAGATGCAACCAATCGGTGTATAACACTTTTATACACTCACACAACAACAGAAAAGTACGTATCGGTTACAATTAACATGAGACACTGATATTCAGCAGCTTCACTGAAGCTTCATGTATTTCAGACAGCTTGACCTTTGTGTTATTTTACTGTCCATATGTGAATCAAAAGTAGTTTTATTTTGTCACCATTATTCTTGTGTTAATGAAAATGCCTGGTTTTTTTTTAACCATAATGTTTACACCTCAAAAAGAAAAAAAAAAGATTGAGAAACATTATTGGCCCCTGGGTGATTTCCCATTAATAAATATGGCACTATTGGACAAAAAGTTTGGACACCACTGGCCTAAAGTATGAAAAACACCAGTTTCCTCTATTAAAACAGCAGTTTCATCTTCTTAGGAAGTGTTAGGGTTAAGTGTAAGGTAGCAGCTGTTAGCCAGTTTATTACAGCAGCTGCCTCTGATTAGTACACACAGTGCTGTGCAAATTCACTCTTGGATGTTTAGATTCTTATCTGACAAACAGTACAGTAAGTGAGGTGGGCAAGATTAAAGCTGCCATTACTCCAATGCACACAGCCAGATCCAGGATGAATAATCAGTAAACTGAAAGACAAAGAGCCACAGATGGCACCGGTCCCCACAGAGCAGTGATCCCAACATCATGGAGTCAGTTTGGGATTATGAGACAGCCTAAATCCACAGAGAAACTGGGGCAAGTTTTACTATTGTTTGGTAACACAAAAATTAATTGCATTTTTTTTTTTTAAATTTAACTGTTTACTCCACTTTGTGTGGAAGTTAACTGATAATAACTACTATTCATGGCAAAAAAAAGATAGAAAGAAAGAAAGAAGCAGATGTTTTATGAGATACATCCAATCAAACTGCGCTCAGTGTCTATTTAAACAACGAGTCCGGGCAGCCGTTAAAAGTGTCACCTGCACGTATCCCTCCGCGCAAGCATAAACATAAGTCACTCAGTAAAGAAGAAAGGCGTTTAACGCACAACTTCATTACATTATGTTTTTACTCTATTTGGAAGCATGAAATTCGTTTGATATTACCAGCAATTCGCTGCCAGCTGTTACAGGCTGACGCTGAAGTGGAAAAAGTAAAGAGTCGTTTCACTTTTTGGCGTTAGCTAAGATTTTGAGCCTGTGGAGCAGATGCATGGTGGCTGCTAGCTAGAGGCATCAAAAGTAATTTAAGTTGGGTCAGACAAGACCATGACATAATAATGTCCATTTTAAACAGATATAAGTTGCAAACAAAAAGGACATTGTGAAATATTGACCTTAAAAGCTTATACTTAAACTGCCTTTGGAGAAATCCACAGAAATCAGATGGTGTTATTTCTTGTGAACACTGAGAGGTTTGACTCAGTAGTGGCAAAAACACAAGCTTTTTAGAATTTAGGAGTCCAATTAAAACATATATTTGTCTTGTTTAATGAGCAATCCACGTACAAAACAAATGACGTGCAGCCTGAGATGTCTCAGCTGTATTGAGAAATACCTTTAACCTTAACTTTTGGCTGACCTGGATAGATTATGTATTTATTTCATGTTTTAGTGCCAAATATCTTACCCCATCATGAAACAAAACGTCCTCTGAGTTATTTATTTACAAAACCCTTGATTACAACAGTGTTTTTACACCTTTATGATTTAAACAGCCTGCTTCATCTGTTTTCACCTGCATAATAATAATATTGCACAAGGAATAGAAAACACTTTGTTTACCTAAATATAGATTTCACTGCCAAATTGGTGCCTTTGGTGAGCAGTTTGTGGTCCCTGGGCCACGTGTTGGCCAGTAGGCCATTATGCCATGATGTGGGAGGGGTCCAGTCCTCCAAAGTTTCTTTTGTCCTGTGTTCAACTGGCTGCCCCTCCCTCAACCTGGTTCTGTATTTATAAATAAAACGAAACTATGTAGAATTAGGCGAGTAAAAATGTGTGTTCGTATCTATAAAGTAAAAGTGTAGATATCAAAATGTGGCAAGCTTAAAGCTTCGCATGACAATAAACTTTCATTATACTGAATAAGCTATGAAAATGATTGAATTTGCATTTGAAATTGTGTAACATGTTTTAATTAAAAGGCAAAAGGTAATGCAAATTTTTATGAAATTTGTTTCTGAAATTGAAAACATTCGAAAGAGGAATTAAAGATATTCAAATGCCACAATGACAAAGGAACCTCTTTTTATTGATGGTTAGGAGTTGAATCATTGTCTGTGTAGTTATCAGTCATCCAGGTCATGGTAGTCTAAGAAGACTGGAAAGAAGGTGACTGGGCTTCTTTCCAAGCTCCTTAAATGAGTTAAATCATTAGTTTTTACTCATTCTATGAATGCATGTATGTCATTTTATTTGATGATTATATTGTAATTTGATCTGCAAGTAATTAAATAATTAATAAGACAGTACCTCTGGTTTTTAGTGCAGTACAAACACGTCAACTGTGAAGTAAGCAAGTAAGCCTAAAACACATCACACTTACAAAATACTGAAGTTAGTTACTTCCTTTTTCTAGAAATGAATTAAACAGTTTCATATACCTACACTGTGAATCCCCATCTAGTTATATAATCATTACTATTTAATTAATTATCTTTTTCATAAGGTGGCATACACTTCGTATCTACATAGTTCTCCCGTATTAGCTTCTCTTCACTGGCTTTTTGTAAAATTTTGAATTTAATTTAAAATCCTTCACATTAAATATAAATTCTGAAATATTATTACCAGATTAGTCCAACAGAGCTCCAATTTTGGGTTCAGGAGACAGACAGCCTTTCTACTTTTAAGAATAATCTTAAAACATTTCTTTCTGATGAACCTTATAGTTTGGTCTAGATCAGGTGATCCTCGATGATCCCTTTCTTATGGTGCTATAAGTAATATATAGTTTTTTTCCCCCCTGTTTTCTGTTAGTGTTGACAGGGCCAGCAGCTTAAAGAATTTGCCGATGCTGTTGCATTGATATGCACCTTTATGTATGTGAAATTTAACGTGAGTCCTTATCTGTTGTTTGTGAGTGGCAAGAATTGTAGGATTGGTGTGAACTTTATTGATTTTTTATTTTTAATTATTGCCGCATGCTCTCTTATCCTCTTTTTTGTCTTCTCTTTACCCTCATACCACAAACAGTCATGGCAGATGTTGCCCTTGGCTAAGGACAGTCTTCTGGGAATCTTTTTCTGTTAAAAAGAGAGTTCTTCCTCCCCACAGTTGCCAAGTGCTTGCTCTTAGGGGATACTTTGATTGTTGGGGTTGTGTTTCTGATATTGTAGGGTCTTATCTTACATTAAAAAAGTGGTGTTGTGAAAACTGAATTAAAACGAAATTTCCAAGTGGCCTAATTTCGAATCAGCCCCACGTTAAAGTGGAGTATATCCTGTTCCAGGGTACAGTTACAAAACATGGGGATATGAAAAAAATAAATAAATAAAACTATGATTTCTGTCTGTAAAGTCCTGCGTAATTTAAGATATCACATTACAGGACACGCTGTAAACTGTATTCCTTCTGTAGTTACTGATTAATACGTCGATTTAACCGCAGAAACAGAGAATTTACACATGCATAGATAAGAGCTGCGTGGTGTCTAGTTTTTCGAGCGGAAGTGCTCACTGCTCACTGCCTTGGAACATTCTCCTCACTGTGAGTGGATGCGTGTGTGTGTGTGTGTGTAAGTGGAAGAGTGTGTAGGTTATGTGTGTATTTGAGTGTGTGTAAGCTGCCTCCTCTCATGTTGATGTCGACTGGCTGCCACCCACTCTAGTGGTGAATAGACAGGAAATAAAAATTAATTAATTAAATTGAAAAAGCATTCTTCGAACGGTGACCTGTCCTGTCCGAGCTTCCACCGGGTCGTCCGAAACGATGAGCCTGCCTCGGCCGGACGAGTTCAAGCCTCCTCCGGAGTGCCCGGTCTTCGAGCCCAGCTGGGAAGAATTTCGAGACCCGTACGCCTTCATCAATAAGATCCGTCCCATCGCTGAAAAAACGGGCATTTGTAAAGTGCGGCCGCCCCCGGTGAGTGTCAATAAAGGTGAAAAAAGCGTTACGGAGACGCGGATGTTGAATTAGTTCATCGTTAAAGACGGAGAGCTGGGGATTTAAAGGGACTGCTCAACATGGCGGATAAACGGTTGTTTCATTCTTTGTGCTGCCACTGCTAGCTGCCTCTCATTCGTGATTATTTACAACGTAGCCGCGCTGCTTTTGACCGACGGCAGTCTCGTAGACTTGTCGGTGTTTTGAGTGGGTTAAAGTCGTGATTCGCCGTGTGTCAACAAAGCGTCGATGGTCTCAGTCATTGAGTCGCTTTTGCTTGGCTAGGCTAGCGCAGGCTAACAGCTCAACCTGTCATAATTCAACACACAGCTTTGACATAGGTGGCTATGCGGAAGCCATTAGGCTCCGTAGAAGAAGAGGATGATCATGATGTGATCATATGAGGGACAATGCTTTTACTCAGCTTGTCCCCGAGTGTCCTCGCATACCTAAAGTTGGTATTAATTAGGGATTATTTTCTCAAGAGCATCCTGAAGTGGTCATCGCCCTCCAGTGAGCGCCCCGTCACTTTTTTGGGTGTTTTTATTCCGCCTGTCCAAGTCCAGGATTAACTCTTCATTTCCAAGTGTCAGATATTGAACCCCATTGTGGGCCAAAGACTCAACTGGGTTTTCTTTCTGAAAAGTTATTGTTAAATCCGCCATATTACGGCCACCTACACCCTGGCGTGCATGTTATAAGAATATGAGTTTGTTAAGAGTGAGCCACTCTTCATGTATATGCCTGTGTTGTAGGGTGTTGTCCTCCATGTTGGCTTTGTGGTAAGCTGTGCTGGTGAGTGAGTCTTCCATCTGGCCATTTTGTGTGCCAGTGGTGAGGGGGGGATGTTGGCTTCAGACTTAAAACAAGAACTTTAGGGGCCCAGCATGGGTGTTGAATGGGTGTTTTCACTGTATAGCCCAGTTTGTGTGTGGTATTGAAGAGCTTATTGATTGTTGTTCTCTCAGCTATCAGCAGGCCTTGCCTAGCCTGCAAATATGTGGTCGTATGCCTCTTTACCTGGCTAATTTCACTTTAGATAAGCCACCAGTGTTTTAAAAAAAAAAGTTTGGCTAATTTGGGTCCAAACACAACTGGGAAAAACTTTCAAAAAAAACCAGTAGCCTCAGTCACATGGCATACTATTGCAAAAATGAAAGTCAAAGAAGACTATGTAATTAAATGACCTTCACTTGTATTTTTGTTGCTGTTTAGGGTTGGCAGCCTCCATTTGCTTGCGATATCGACAAGCTTCACTTTGTTCCTCGGATCCAAAGGCTCAATGAACTGGAGGTGAGTTTTGCTAGTCAGATCATACCAGCCCTCATTTGACTCTTTTATCTTTCTGTGGATCAGTACTCTCAAATGTTGTTCTATTTTTAACTCATTCACGTAGCCAGTAAACCCACTGAGGCTACAATGAAACAAAGACCAGTAATGTTATTACTGCTTTGGAATAATGTTACAAAATAAAGGATTACTGGATTTAAAACTGAAAGTGCAATTATTTATGTTTTACAAAAACAGCAGAACAGCACCTAATATTAATTTTTCTGGTTTTGCTGTCATGTCCCTCAGTAATCTTATTGGTGTTCTTGGTCTTTAGCTGACTTTTAATTGCTTGTCTCTTTTCTCAGGCACAAACCAGAGTCAAACTCAACTTCTTGGACCAGATTGCGAAATTTTGGGACTTGCAGGGATGTAGCCTGAAGATTCCTCATGTGGAGAGGAAGATTTTGGATTTATATAAGCTAAATAAGGTTGATATTTGCTTGCACTGCACATCATTTTTAAATCAAATACCCAGGGGTTTTAGCTGAGTGAAAAAACACCCTTTGGATGGGTGACTACTCACATAAACACGATTAGTTAAGACTCTTATTTTTGAGGCAATTTGATAAATAAAAATGTATTTCAAATTTGAGTAAATTAAACCCGTCTTCAAAAAGTACTTGTTAAGAGATCAGAGTCCTGGAAATTTCCTTTAGTGGAAGATGAAAACCTTTTTATATGCAGGAAGAACTGTCAATTTATGTGTAATAATCTAGTTAAACCACTCTTATAACAAACTATGTGTCCCTTCAGCTGGTAGCAGAGGAGGGCGGGTTTGACATCGTCTGCCGGGACAGGCGATGGACCAAGATTGCGCTGCACATGGGCTTCGCCCCTGGCAAAGCCGTGGGCTCACACCTGCGAGGGCATTACGAGCGAATCCTCTATCCCTACAATCTGTTTCAGAATGGAGCAAACCTGCTGGTGAGTTAGACCCATGCATCAGCCTGACAACATATATTTTTTCCCAGCAGTGTGTGACTCATCTGGTCTGTGCACTAACTATAATGAGAAATGCCCATTTAGGGGGTGTTTTCTACTTTCATTGCTCTACTTGTGCTAATGCAAAGTATACAAGCAGTGCTGTACCTTACTGTAAAATAAAAAGCAACCATCCCAATACAAATCCAGTAAGTGCTTTAAAGCAGCAGATATTAAAGCAGCCAGATCTTTTTCATACATTTGGGAGCCACTGCTTTAGTGAGACTTTAGATTAGCTTGCGTGTCGTTTAGTGGAATACATTTGCAACTTTAATTTTAACAGCAAATGTTTCTTTCTGATCTTGTTGACTAAAGCAATTATCATCTGCCAGTTTCCATAAAGATGATGGGTCACGGTTGCCATCCTCTTTTTGTTGTTTTCTTCTTCTTCTTCTTCTTCTTCTTCTTTTTTTAAAATTTCTTCTTGTTTCATTAATTTTGGGAGTACTGCAGCATCGATCCCCAGCTGAGTTTAGAGAGCCTAACAGCCTCAGCAGTGTAGGAGTGAAAGGCGCACATGTAGCATGGAGAACTGTGTTGTAATATACTGATTAAATCGTTTTTTATGATTAAAAAACATTCTTAGTAATATAGTAGTCTTATTACAATATATATAAGTGTAAAATGTGTGTGAGTGTTAGCCCTAGGGATTATCCACAGAATGCTCATTGGATTATCCAGCCCAGTTTGAAACACGTTGACTCCACCGCTAACATTTAAGAGCTAAACCACAGAAATGGTTCAGTTTTCCTAAATAATTCCCACAGTTCATAACGGTTCATAGCTGCACTTCCTGGGTGGCTGTGGCTCAGGAGGTAGAGCACGTCATGTACTAAACCAGAAGATTGGTTCATTCCTGGCTCCATTAGTGTGTTTGACAAAATTTTCTTGGACACGATACTGAAACCCGAGTTGCTCAAAAACAAACAATAAAATCTTAAAATCAAGTTTAACAGCCTGCCAATGTGAGGAAGCCATTATAGGCAGTTTGTGGTCTTGCTTGCATATGCCAATTAATGCCCAAACCACAGCTTTTTGGACCAGTTTCCTTCCACCAAGCAGTGACAGACGGACACCTGAATAGAGAACAACAAAGATAAGGTACATTTACTTGGGACATTACAGTTCCTGCAACCAAAACATGGAAAACAACCAAGCTCAGTATAATGAAGATAATGTCAAAAACAAAATAGCTTAGGAAGGTAAATATTTAACTGTACACAAAAGGAGTACAGTTAAATAGAAAATAGAAAATAAAAGTGAGAAGCTCAGTGGATCAAAACCTAAATATAATACAGGAAGGAGCTCACTCAGTAAAATCAACAAATGTATGCCTTCATTCAAAGTCACAATAAAACTGGTGAGGTTTGAACATGGTTTAGGACACAGCAGGTGGCTGTTTGGAAAACAAACTTAGGCGTGGTACACGTTTGCATTAGCGTAAGTAGGACAATAAAAGCAGGAAATAACCACTGAACTGGTATTTCTCATTTCTTCAGCAAATGAAAATAATTTATAGTTCAATGTTTCCATTGAAGCTAAATGTTGTTGAATGCAAGTTGAATGTAATATGGAAGGAGCAAGATTAAACAAATGCATTATTAGGATCGTTTGTTCTATGTTGGGTTGTATGTTTTGTGTTTTTAAGAGCTGTCTGATTTTTGCAGTATTTTTAAGTTAGCTCTGTTTTCTTACTGATATATTGAGTTTGATTTTATCATCATGTGTCTCTTTTATTGATTTTGGCTCTAATCTTTCATGAGATTTTGCAAGAGAGATAATTTAATTGGTCATTTGTGACCTCTTACACAGGTCACTTTAAACTCTGTAATCACCAAAGCTCTCTCCTGCCTTAGGCACCAGATCCAGATTCCAAACTGATGCTTTTGGAGGCTGATCCTGAACTTCAAGAGGTACGTTTGTGTCACGTTTAAGAAGCTACTCGGCCTCACATCTAACAAAATGCATGTTTATCTGTGGCTGGGCAGCATAAAGTTGTGGGGCTATATTTGCACAACATTTAGAACTCTTCATAAAACAGTTAATCTTAGTATCAGTTCACGGTATCTTCACCTTGATCTACTTTCTGCAGTTGTAATGTGTTATCCACACAATAATCTGCTGTTGGTAATTAGTTAAAGTAAAAAGTCAAACTCCTGAGAGTCTGAGATACCTTACCTTCACACACAAACTGTCTCAACTCACACACATCCTTCTGTTTAATTTGGCATGTTTCTTTGCTCCCTGTTTGAGGTGACAAACTAACCACATCCTCCTCATGGACGTTTCTTCTTTGACTGTTTCACTATAAACACTCTTAAATACCAAATGATACCAAACTGTAAAAAAAAAAAAAGTAAACCACATCTGGATATTTTAACAATAAAATCACTCTTAAAACTATAATACCAAAACTAAAATAACTCTGAATACCAGATACACTATTAAGTCCTTATTGCATGTGTTTGTCTAAGACTGGAATGTGTGCATGATGGGAAATATTGTGTTTGTATTGTCATACTCTGAACGTCTCGAATCACGTCCGTGAGAAGTACCACACATGTTATTATAATTTACAGATCAAAACTAACACTGAATCTAATGAAAACAAAATATTTTCAAACGATATAAACATCAGTATAAAGAATATAAACTTTCTCTGAAAAGAGAAAGAAAAGAATACAAAAATTAAACAAGATAAAGATTAATAAAAAAATACAAAAATGCTAGAGTAAATGTAACTTTTCTTCCGCCAGGTATGTTATCAAACTTTTACACCAGTGCCTGATAGTGGTTAACAAACTTCATCAAAGTGAGAAAGACTAAATTATATTTTTTATATTCTTATATGTGTGGGGGTTTTTTTTTTTTAATTTTAGTTAATTTTGTTTCAGGCAGTTTCCATTTTTTCTTTTAGTCTATAATCTTTTTTAAATTTCAGTTTATTTATCTAAATATTTAAATAAAATATTTCTTCTACTCTTACTTTTAGTTTTAGTTAACCGTACTGTACTACCTGGCAGTCAGTTTATATCTTCCTGATTACTGCATCTGATTATACAGGTATTTCCAGTTAGTCGCATGGGTTCTTTCTGCATAGGTTCTTTCTAATAGCCTTTGTGATATAGTTCTCCCTCGCTGGCTCTTTCAGTGTGTTCAGAAGCCTGTCCAGCCGGTCGACAGTGGAGAGGAGGGCACAGACATCAAGGAGCAGAAGCTGCAGGACCAGGCTCAGAGGACACCTGTCCAGATACCTGATGCTTGTCCAAGTGCTCGCAGAGCCAAGCGCATGAAGTGTGAGGTGGGAGCCACAAAGCCTGACTAAAACTGCCCTGAAACCAGCAGTACAAGCTACACTGTTCAACAGTTATTTGAAGAATCTTGTAGTTTGACGTTTCAGTTCTCGCTTTGTCTGTAGGCTGTCTGTGTGAAGACTGAACCAGGTGAGCCCGGTGATAGCAAGCCAAACCTGAGGCGGAGGATGGGGTCTTTTGTTGTCAAGACAGAACCAGGTCAGACCCACACCCCAGAGCAAAAACAGTTACTCTGTTGATATTCACAGCATTAATGCAAACACTTCAGCACACTTTGTTTGGAATCATTAAGCATTAATAAACATGTATGAATGTTGTAACAAGAGTGTAAAGTAGCGATAAGCAGAAATGAGTGGTAATTAAACATATATTCAGTAGTTACAAATCCTCCTTTAGCCAAGAAAATAATGTTTCTATAGTAACTTAAAAATACCAAATATGGAGTCCATGTGTTTTTAAACATTTTCTGTAAAGGATAAACCTCTTCTTGGTCATAGTAACGTTTCTTGTGGCCTTGCAGAGAAAGAGATTCCAATTCTGGTGAAACAGGAACCAGCTGAAACCAAGGAACTAATATTTGAAGCTGACAAAGTTCCCAAGTCACGGTATAAGAAAGTCATGCCTCCAGTTCCTCCGAGTCCAGTAAGTAGACACCAAAAGAGTGTGTTTTAGTTTAATGCAACATGATGAGAAATCCACCCTCAGCTTTTATCGTTTGACTAAGTTGCTTCCTTTGTCCATTAAATATGTATCATTTTTTGAAGAGCACAAATAACACATAACAAAAAAAATGTGACATTTTAATGCTGAATGTAATTACATAAACTAAAAGATACAATAGCACAAGAAAAGAAGGCAGATGTAATGTAAGAAGAGAAAAAATGAGCAGAAAAAAAGGTTTAAAATATCATGCCCCATAACTGATCATTTAAAACTGACAGCATTTCAAAGTATATTTTTAACATGCATGTTAAAATTCTTCATTTTTGTAATAATTATAATGAGATTAATAGATTTCAGTCTATGTAAAAAATGTTTTTCATTTTTATCTGTTTGTTTTCGTCTCACTACAAACTGCTCCTGTTGTTATTGCCCAGGTGGATCTGGTTGTGTGTCTGGTGTGTGGCAGTGGGGGAGATGAAGACCGCCTGTTGCTGTGTGACGGCTGTGACGACAGCTACCACACCTTCTGTTTGATCCCTCCTCTGCACGACGTTCCCAGAGGAGACTGGAGGTGCCCCAAGTGTCTGGCTCAGGTGAGATTAAACAGCACAGTCTGGTAACACTTTATAATTACTATCGTTAATACATAGAAAAATTAGCTAAATATTTTTTTCACTGTTAGCAAATATTGAAAAAAAAATACTAAATAATATTAATTATTACTTAATAATTCTTTGTAAACCATCTATAACATTATCTTGATAGTTGTTAAGGTGGAATGGATGTTTATAAAGCTTCTAAGTGGTGCATAAATACTGTGTAGTCCATCTATAAACATTATTGTTTACTTTTGTTTATTGTGAATGTATTTGTTTTTTAAGCTGTTGCCAGGTTTTATAGTGTTTGTTTTTAAAAGAACATATAAGCAGGAATGTTATCAGTGACGTAAAGACTGTGATCCTGTAGTTTACTTTCACTTTTGCTATTTGTTTGTTTGGCTTAGAAAAACAGTACTAGGTTGGGTTACAGTACAACAAGTAAGAAGTAAGATCAGTGTCACTAGTTCTGCAACAAGTGTAACTGCACTAAATACAAGAATCTCTCATCACTAATGAAAATGTGTTACAAAACTACACTAATACTGTAACTGCAATTTAAAGTTTCTTAGGTATGGTTATCTTCCCTCCCTGAGCCTGGTTCTGCCGGAGGTTTCTTCCTGTTAAAAGGGAGTTTTTCCTTCCCACTGTCGCCAAAGTG